CTGCACGGCGGGCGGCGCGCGTTCGAGGGCAAGACCTCTGCGCAGGTGTGCTTCGACTACGTTGTCCCGACCACGTCAACCTCGGAAGCGTCGCTCGTCGAGCACGTGCGTCTCCACACGTCCGACGCGGCGTACGTGCAGCCCGCGACGTGGTACATTAGCCACGCGTGGGGCTACATCTTCCTCGAGACGCTCGAGAGCCTCGAGTCCTTCTTCCGCGAGCGCTCCATTCACGACCCGGTCGTGTGGTTTTGCGTCTTCAACAACAACCAGCACCGCGCGAGCGAGCACCCGTTTGCGTGGTGGCAGTCGACGTTCCAAGAGTCGCTCGCGGCCATCGGCAACGTCGTCATGATCATGCACCCGTGGAAGAACCCGATCACGCTCACGCGCTCGTGGTGCATCTTTGAGGTCTACGTCACGATTTCGGTCGGCGCCAACTTTGACGTGGCCCTCGCGCCCAACCAAGTAGCGCAGTTCGTTGACGATATCCTTTTGGACATCAGCGCCTTCTACAACATGCTCGCAACCGTGAGCAGCGAGGCGGCGCAGGCCACGGTGCCAACCGACAAGACCAACATTGATCGCGTCATCACGAGCACGGTCGGGTTTACGGGCCTCGACCGCATGGTGCTCGAGACGTTTGAAGCGTGGATGAAGCGCGCGATCCGCGGGCGCATCGCGGTGGCATCGACGGCGCTCGAGAAGGCGCGGCTCTTCAAGGCCCTCGCTGAGTTTGTGTCGCTCAACGGCGCGTTCGTCGAAGGCGAGGCGCTCGGCACGGAAGCGCTGGCTCTGTATCTCGAGGCTCTCGGGCCCGAGGATCCTGCGACCTTGTACATGCAAGGGCTCCTCGCCATGTTCCAGGGCCACCAGTACAAACCGCGCGATCTCTGGGAACCCACGCTTGTCGACGTGATTCGCCGGCTCACGGAGACTGTGGGGCCAATGCACGAAGATACGCTCAACTGTATGTCACATCTTGGCATGCTGTACGCAGAAGTGCTCAACCAGACGGACGAAGGACTCGAACTGCTCGGCGAGACCCTCGCGCGGATGCTCGAGGTGTACGGACCGGACCACCCGCGCACGATCGACACGCGGTTCATGCACACGCTCTTTGAGACGCCTACGATGGAGTACGACGACGCTGTGAACGCCGTGACGGCGTGCAACGTCGAGGTGCAGCGCGTCATGGGCAAGAACCACCCGACGGCGCTGGCGGGCGCCAACTTTCTCTCGCTCCTCAACACGCGCATCGGCGGCTCGCGCAGCAACCTGCTCGCCATCGACATTAGCATCGCCGACCGCCACGAGCGTATCTTTGGTCGGGACCACCAAAACACCCACATGAGTCTCATCAACCTCGCAACGACGTGTCTCGAGCAAGGCGACTATGACCAAGCGTTAGCCCTTGTCGCACCCATCGTTGCCGATGTCGATGGACCGCTCGATGGCACGCGGCTCTTGCCCCGCGCAATGGGTACGACAACATATTCCCGCTCTCGTAATAACACTCGATGTGTACTAGCCCACCAGGTAATGGCGCAGGCCTATGACAAGATTGGCGAGTGCGCGCTGGCAGTCGACGCGTGGGAGGCCGCGATCGACGGGTTCCTGCAGACCGACGCCAAGGACCAGCTCCCAGCGTGCGTCTGGAACCTCTACTGGGCACGCCACACGGGCGACCTCTGGCCAACTCTAGCTTGCATTGAGTCGCTCCTGGCCAACTTTGAGCGAACGGAGCTGCTCACCGAAGGCTGGGGCTTGACGACGTGCTTGGCGTGCGAGCTACCGATGCTCGAGGGCATCACGTACATTTGCCCTGGCTGCACGATCAACCTCGGCGTGGTCTGCGCGACCTGCCACGAGATGGTGCCCGAGTGTCTCGACTGCGAGCGCTCCGTGCTCTTGCCCGCCGAGCCACCGGCCCGAGCGCTCCTAAAGAAGCGCGTACAATGGCTCACAAACCATGGACCCTCGGACGCCCTGCGCGCTGCCGTCGACGCGCTCGCCGAGTACTGTTATCGGTGGCACTTGCCACTCGAGGGCCCAGCGCCGCAACCATCACCGACACCTTCCACGCCACCAAGTGACGCCACCGATGCGGCGCATCAACCCACCGTTGCGTGGCTTTGTTGCTGGCGACAATGGCCCAGACACCAAAAAGCGACTATAACCAAGTCGAATAGATAGCTGTGAGATTAGCAGATGCCTTCTAGTCGATTGATAGAAGCCCGGTTTTCCAAAGGTAGAGCGCGCGGCCGATGCACCAGCGTGCCATGCGTAGGAAGAGCCGGCTCGCAAAGCCGGTGAGGAGACCCGAGAGGATCGCGCCGAGGACCGTCGTAAGCGTCCAGCCATTCGGCGTCGCCAGTGCCGCTGTTGTCGTCGAGGCATTGGTCCCAAAGGCATCGGGCGGGTCGAAGCGCGCCGGGTGGAGCTCTCGCCACTGCTTGACGTCGTCAAGGAGGGTCGAGAGCTGCGCGTCGGCGTCCGAGGCAAGCGTGACGGTGGCGACGAGGGCGAGCAGGGGCCAGTAGCGCTGCATTGGTCGGCACGACTAATATTGCAAAGTGGCTCCGTTCGTCAGCGGTCGACGCCCAGAAATCAAGGTGTAGCTTGACCTTTGTATGCAATACAGGGTGCAAGGTATTTGCCATCCAGGTATACTTGAAGTTGGCGCTCTGAGACGAGGAAGGTGTCGACCAGTCGGCGGCGCGGCCTCGGAGCGCCACACCGATCGAGTGGCGCGCAAGCTCCTTTGCTAGTTCTAAAGTACTAGAAATCGTATACGGACTAGACGCGAACCAACCTGGATGGCGCACTTCCGGCAGCTCGAAAGGAGCAGACGGCGCGGTGCAGCGCCACGTGCACGCAGTAGTACCGTGATGAAGGTCGCGTGTCCGCCACAATACAGCGTATCTGCAGTGTTCGGTCCTGTTCGGACCCTGGCGCTTTTGTTCAGAAAAATGAATTCTGAAAACGACCAGGCGGATGATGCTAGTTGTCCAATCGCACGCCACTGCGCGACAGTAGTAGCTTGCAGTCATCGTCGAGAACACAAGACTCTGCCGTCGCCTCCAGAATGCTTGATCGACTTGCAGTCACGAGAGGTGTTTGCGTCAGGGGAACGTACAAATATTGCGAAGCCGTCGCCAAAAGCAATCTCGGATGATGTTGAAACATGTGGTGTCAAGCACCCACGGCGACCCGATAAGCTGGTTGAACTTCAAGGTGGCGCGCCGGGTTGCAAGCGTGGACTGTGCAAGCGCTCGCTAAATAGACCGGCATCAACTACTCATGCTTACCCAGCCTCGAGTGTATGAGTAGTCGATTGGAATGTTAGGAAACCGCGATGCGCCGCGAAAGTAAGGTCGGTGACGACCGCGAGGACGCACCAAGGCGATGGCACCACGTGGTGATTGCGTCAGGAGCGAGATCGCGCGCTCCGTCGTTGCGAGCACGAACAGGACACATCGAGAGGTAGGCTGTGGTTTTGCATGCTTTTCAACGGATGTGTTGTCGCGCGCAAGTCAACGCATGGACGTTATCGTTGATCACCGACTGCACTGTGGTGCTGTCCATGCTGCGGATCTACCGGTACTGCAGCAACGCTCGTCTGTGCGCCGATGCCGGTCAGCATCCTTGCAGGCGCGGACGAGCAAGATCAACGCTGCCATACCACGGCCGTTGGCGATGTGTCGATTCTATACTAGCACGTGAAGTACGTACCCCGTGAAGAAGACGTGGATATGGCGTGTGGCCGGTCCATACTTCGCCACGAGTCCAGCAAGGCGGCGGACGACGAGGCATCGCGGTTTCTATTGTAGCATGTACTAGTACCAAAATCAAGAGGCTCGCCAATGAACATCGATGCAACGTGGATTGCCCGCGGACTCTGTTTCCGCCGTGCTAACGACGAGTGCTCCATGGGTACGAAAGAAGTAGAATGTGATTAGGAGCTTGTATGTAACTCTCAACTTCCTTCTAAAAGCAGGTCTTGGTGGCAGTGTAAGCTTCTTTGATCTTAGCACTAAGACTAAGATCTAAGCTTACACCCGAACTTATTGAATCTGGACTAGATGCATACGGGGTCTTAAAAACTAATTACGTCTGTACTACTAGGTAGATGCACACGGGGTCATACGGGAAGTAAAGCCAATACCAAAGTCATGCATGGCATAGCTACAATAGAAATACATTGACGTGTTGATGCTGCATCTCAACAAACAACGCCAAACAAATCAAATGATTTCACTCGTTTCAACCCGTTTAAAGTCAATGGGTGGACAAAACGACAAGATTGTCATCGATAACTCGAACGATGATTGGCTTCTACTTGGGGCACTTGTCCAAGCTGATGTACTTGCCGCCCGTCTGGACCGCGGTCTTGATCGCGCCAGTGTAGTCTTGGGCCACCAAGCTGAGCGTCACCTTGGCCGTTTGGCCGACAATGTCGACGACGGTGTTGACGCACGTGGCGACGCTGGACGTGCAGAAGAGGCCGCAGTCGGTGCCAGCGGGGTTCACACACTGAGGCCAGCACACGGGACCGACGCCGACTTGGTTGGCAGCGCACGGCGGGTAGCAGAGAAGACCGCTCTTCTCCAGATGCTTGGGGCATCCGAGGCGCGAGACACCGACGCCACGGCCGTAGTGGTCCTTGCGGCAGAACGCACCGTCGTCATGGAACCCCTCGGGGCAATCGGGCGAGCAAATACAGCAGCCAACGTTGTGGAAGCCCTTGTCGCATTTCGGGTACCACATGGCCCCGTTCTTCTCGCAGCCCTGGCCGTTCTCACGCTTGCACTTGTCTTCGTTCCAGATCGCGTAGCCCGAGCCACGACCGTAGGCGGACGGCTTGGCGCACGAGACACCAATATCGGTCGCGCCCTTGACGCCACCACAGCCCTTCTTGCGGCAGATGCAGCAGCCCACCGACTCGTAGCCTTCCTTGCACTTGGGGTAGCAGAGCGCACCCCAGGCCTCCTCACCGGGCAGACACTGGTTCTCGAGAACCGTGCCGACGCCACGCCCGACACCTTGGCGACGGCACACGACGGGCTCAGGATCAAAGACACCCGTGACCTTGCTCAAGATCGACTGCACTTGGTCGACGATAGCAGCACCGTCCTTGACGTTGGCACCGTTCTTGATGATGTCTTGGATCGAGTTGATGAGGCCCGGGCCGTCCGAGGCAGCGATTTGGCCAAGCTCCATGGCGATCTTGATGTTCTTCATGAGGCTGTCGCCGTTCTCGGACGTCAGACCGTCCTTGGAAATGCTCTGGAGGTCGAGCGCGATGCTTTGGTTGCCCGTGAAGGCGCTGCCGGCGCTCGGCCCCGTCGCCGTTGTCCAGATGCGCTGGATGTCATCAGCTGAGATAGGGCTCTTGGCTTGCTGGATGTGCTGGATCACCCGCGCCGTCGCGTTCTGCGAGAGGCCGTTGAGCGCAATCTCGCGAAAGTCCTTGGCAATGTCATCGTTGATGCCTTGCAACGGCGGCAAGGTCACGGCAACTTCAGCGAGGTCGCGGTCGCCGGGCAGCACCTCGAGGCCGCGCACGTAGTGGACAACACCACTGTCGTCGCCGGCAACAAGAGCCACAAGCGCGCAGAGCGCCGCCGTAAGGAGTAGCTTCATCGTGGAAGATTGAAAAGTGAGACCATTGCCGCACCGCAACGCGTTTGACTCCGTACACATTGCATTCAGCCATCTGTCGACCCGTGTATACGTAGATGACGTGGGCACCGGCGCGCGCTCTTCCTCGACATATACATACGTTTTTGTATGGTAGAGTGAGAGTGCCATGGTGCGAAAGAGGATGCACGCTCATGCGTGGATAGAAACATGACCAATTGAGCGTCTCTCCGTCGTTATCAGAGATGGCCAACTGGATACTGCGCGGTACAGCTTCCAGGTTGTCATCCCTTCTAGGTTCATTTAGGTTGCGTTACATATATGCACTCTTCTCGGCGCGACCATACATGCCCCGTAGAGCCCAACGCTCGGCTTACTCCACTGACTCGCCCACCCATCTCACATTGCTGTGCACTGCGGTACCGCGTGCGGATTGGTCGGGCGTGCTGGGATATGTCCCGAAGTATATACGTTTGTACTGCGACCCATAATAGCAATTTTTATATGGACCCTTGTTGCTAGACGGGAGTAAAACTGCGGTCGCCACATTGTGATCGATTTGATGGAGTACATTGTCCTGACCGTGCACCACCGGTACGGTCGTCGTGCGACGTCACGACCCGCAGATCCGTTTGTAAGTAAGAGTGGTTGTGACCCCATTATCCCACCGGTGTGCCCCTTTCTTGGCACTTTACGAACAAGAGGGTCCGGTCAACATGTGTGGCAAGCGTGGCATGCACCAATGATGGCACCGCAAGACCGTGACGGCTCGAGTAATCGCTACCATTTTGGGATTTGTGATTTATCATGCACGCCGTTGTCGCGACACTGTCAGCTGCACTTGTCAGCCGCAGTGTCGGTAACAGACATCATCGGTGCCGAGATGCCGACGCAGAGCATCGGGGTGACCGCTTGAAGTAGACACTCGCCGCAAGCACGCAAGTCGCACGTAGAAAGGACTCCAAATGGACGTGTGCTGCTTCCTAGATTCGGTTGGATTTGCATAGCTATTGCATTTTAGCTAGTCGAGAAGAAGACAACCATCGGGGACACAACTCGGCGTGGCTGAGCAAGCGTCCGATTATCCTCTGCTAAAACTAGCGGGGTCATCGACTTGATGGTTAAAGTTTGGCATACTATAGTTGCGCCGATGTGTACTGGGCGAGGTGGCATAGCGGTGCAAAATACCGACCTGCACTCTGTTTTGTATCAATCTATCTCCGCCTATCCTGCCGATACTTTGATACAAACAAGACGCAAAACCACACCTTGCACCGAAAGCGTTCTGGACACGGAGTGTATAGGACAACGAACCACTCTGCTACTGGGAAAAATGATAATTATACGAAGTTTTGTGACTGCGAGTTGCAGGCGTCGCGTGTCAGCAGTATGGTAGCGGGCGTGTAGGACGCCGCCACATATTTGAGCCAATTCGGTGTGCACGCAACCACAAACCGGATTTGCTTCACGAACCGGCTTGCTTAAAACGCAAAACTGACTTGGCGAGTCTAACCGGTTTACAAAGCCGGTTTGACCACGGCTCCGCGGCTCGTGCAACAAGATGACAGCTTGTGAGAACAACATGTCTTGTACGATAGACATAACACTACTGCTGACACCTTGTTGACCAAGAGAGGCTTTGCTACGTCGAGAGTCGACTGTGGGATCCAGAGGGAGGATACTTCTGATATGATAATGGTTCTGCTTCGCTGGCTTGCACCCGCTACGTCACAAATGCGTCCTTGGCAGCTTGGCTTGCGAATCTCGAGCACGGGATGTGGCAAGCCGGTCGCAGACATGCTCGAGCAGACATTACACTTTGCCGTAGTCGATGGCACCAGAACGCTGCTGGTTGAAGAAGCTGAGGAAACTGCCTCTCCAACCAGCAGCCATAGCTGAGACCCACTGGCTGCTACCTTGCACGTGTCGTCAGTAGAAGGACCAGGTAAAGTCATCAGAGAGCATGCGTTGCTCGCGTCATCTCGTCATGTGTCATCATGATCACACCACTCGGACGCGATATCAACTGGGAAGGGAATGGTTTCCCGCTGTATCGCAGCAGCTCCGAGAACCACTGCTTCCCGTAGAGTCTCCACGTCCGGCGCGCAGACCAGCGCATTAGTTATGCGACGAAGAGCACATCGGCCGCTGCCAGCAAAGAATCTATGCAGCGCCTGAACACCCTGTCGTTCTTGGATGCGTCCGCAAGCAATGCGGCGAGTGTGTCCCAGTCGCAAGCGCGTGCTGAACGCGTGCAATGCTTGTGGAAAGGGACCTACGGACGGTATGCGCCTGGCCACATGATCCTCATTTCTCGGTGCTCTGCACGCTCTCGTAACGGGCTTTGAGAAGGCGATGAGAGCGTGTCTGCTGCGACCTCAACAAGTAGCGTCAGTAAGATCCTTCGCAGTACTATCTGCAAAGCTCCCGAACGGCAATGTTGGCGCGTGATTGCTTTGTAATTGTGCCACGTGGATCCCACCCTGAATTCGAACACCCGTGCCTCTGAAAGTGTGGACCTGTCCAAGTTCGAACTTCGATTTCCGTGGCCTTTCCAGCAACGGCAAATCCATTGGGTCAGTTTGATGGCCGGCCAGCTGCTTGCTTCTGCAGAGTCTTCACGTCTGTCTTCAGGCTGTCGTGTCGGACGCGGCCGAGCGATCCTGACAGCGCAATGACGCGGCACTTGCCACTCTGCAGCACTCTCCCGCGCGTCGTTTTGCATTACAATGCGTCGTTCGATGCGCCTGTCTCGACGTCTATTTGTGTCGATGTAGCGTCGTCGCGCCGACTAGAGCCAGGGTTCATTCAAGATGTAGAGAAATATCGGGCTAGACTACTACTAGCAGTCCTCGTACGTAGAGCTCGCACGCACTGCTTCGCTTGCAGAAAGAACCTCGCGACGCACTCGCAGTCTGACGCAACTTCGATCGAAGTTGATGATACAGCACAGCCGGACCCGACGACTAACGGCAACGGCCACAACATGTGGCGCTCGTACCACAGCTGACGGCGACGCGCCGCGATGTCGGCTGATTCATTTCTCTTCTTCCAGCAATGTGGGTACGTTGCGTGGCCCTTTTCATCGCCGCTGTCTCTGCGGCGCTCAACGACACCAGTTCGACCAATGCGACGGCGCCGCCCGCTACGATCCGCGTTGTCGAGGACATCACGGTGTCGCCCGCACCGTTCCTCGCACCGTCGCCGTCGCCGCGGAGTGTGCCTCAAGTCACGACGTTGGCAACTGCGCCGCCGGCCCGTACGCTCCCATCTCCAGTTCTGCACCACTCATCTTGCGCGTAGAGGTCAGCCCCACAATAGTCTTTGTCGGTGTCGGGATCACGACGCTGCTTCTTGTCTCGGCCATCGTGCTCTGGCAAGGCCGTCGGCGGCGCCAAGGTCGCCCAAAGCGGTCGCTCGAAAAGCCCGAGCTCGGCGGCACCAAGTCGCCAGTGGCGATTCTCGCCGACATCGAAGACGACTCGTACGATCTGTACATGGAGACGCTGCGCACGCGCGGCAGCCAAGGCGGCGACTCGCTCTTCATGACGACACAAGAGAACATCCAGCACGACCTGCAGGCGCTGTTGCCGTGGCGGATCGAGGCGCTCGAGGTACTTCCGCGTGAAAAGGTCGAGCACAAGACCAGCTACGCGGCAACGTACCGGCGCGAGCTCGTCCATGTCAAGCAGTGGCGCGGCGTCAAGGGCTACGAGTCGACCGTGTTTGTGGGCCAGCTCGTCTTGCGCATCAAGTACGTCGTGACACCATTGTCCTGTAGTGTACTAACGTACACGCACTAGGTTGTCGTGCCAGCAGATTGTCCACTTACGGGGTGTTGCGTGGTCCGACACGACCGCGTTCCATGCGATTTTCGAGCACATGGACGGCGGCACCTTGCGGCAATACCTCGAACGCACGCCGCAAACAGACGCCGCGTGGAGCCAAAAGCTCTTGTATGCACTCGACGTCGCCCAAGCCCTCGACTATTTACATGCCAAGGACATTACGCACCGGGACCTTCGGTCGGCCAACGTATTTTTGAACCAAATTGGCGACGCCAAAGTGTCCAACTTTGGCTGGCTCACGCCGCGTATCGAGATGGGCGGCCCGCGACAAGACGCGACTCCGTGGAATGCCCCCGAAGTCGTGGCGGGCCATCAGTACTCGGTCGCGGCCGATATTTATTCGTTTGGAATGCTGCTCTACGAGCTCGAGGTCCACACCAGCCTCCCGCCCTCGGCGTACGCGGTGCAAGCGCACTTTGCACCGACAAGTCCGCTCGTCAACGTCGGACCGCTCTGCCTCGCACTGAGCCCGGCCCAGCGCCCGACGATCGAGTGTATTTTAAAGGAGCTTCGCGCCCAGCTGCAGCGCTATTAGACTAGACCTCTTCTACTACTATTATTTCAGTCATTCTTTGTCCTTTGTCCTTTCTGCACTGGGCATGGCTTGGTCAACGCAGGGATGGCACGTTGCCCATGCAATATTCCCGTATTTTCTGGAAATGAGATAGGATTGGCTTAAATACTCGATATTTGCCTCGATGCAGCCAATCAGATACGCGAATATGTCGCTTGGAAATCCCGAAAAACCCGGTGGCATTTGACGCCAAACGCGGTGGTACGACGGCAGTAGTACTCGCTCGATAGACGCCGATGACGTCGCAATGAGGAAGCCAGGTGCCGCAAGGCGTGGTGGGTCGTCGACCTTCAAGAAACCCCCACCGTCTCTACGCAACGTCGCTCACCTCAAGATTCTGGGTCCCACCATCCATGACCATCTTCAAAGTTCTTCAGTCAGCTTGTTTACATGTACGCCAAGGTGCCGCGTCACTGGTCTGTGATGTTGAGGAAGGGCGCCATCCAGCGGGTTGCTCTCGGCTGTAACGACGCTGTGCAATGTGCGCTCGTAGGAGCCTTGTTAGCGAGGCTAGACTGCTGCGATCCGAGAACACCGATGGCGGGATCGCATAACTCTTGTCGCCGTCAGCATCAATGCGGCGACGGTGTTGGGCGCAGTAGTACAGAGGACGTTATAATAGGTACGCGAAACGAAGCATAAAAGTAAGTGCCGCCGG